GAGTGTGGGGGTTAAGACCAAAATAAGGGCTGCATTTAGTAGGTGGGGCCCGACAGTGGCCTAAAAGAGGCAAATGTAGTGGAGAAAAGGGGACTCAACAAAAGCTCAAACAAAAAAATAAAAAATAAATAAATAAAACAGAAATATATTATTATAAAGTTGTAAATCTTGGAAACAGCTTATGAGGATTTCATATGAATAAATTAGATAATAAAATATTTTTTTTAAAAAAAAAAATAGGAAAAATGGGGACCACAAGGGTTAATAATGGGTTGTGACAGTAGATTGGCTGTAATAAGAACCGGCAGATGGAAGATGGGAAACAATCTGAAAGATATGGTTGCCCTCAAATACGTGCTGAATTTTCCAACCATTTAATTTATTTTTTATATCAAAAAAAAAAATAAAAAAAATAAAAATAAAATAAGAGGGGTAAATCAAAGAGAAGAAAAATGGGGAAAAAAAAAAAAAAAACAAAAAGTGCCTCAAAGTGGGGGCCTGTGCCTCTCTGTCTCTGGACCTGAATTTCTGTTTTTCATTTTATTTTTTTAAATAATAATTTTGGCAGAACAGAACAAAACAGAAACCCTCTATTATCATCTTCTGGATTTCTGTGTATAATTTTATTTTATTTTATTTTTTTTTCTCTATGGCACAGTCTGAGAAGAACAGTACAAGGAAAAGTTGCATTTTTCAAAGTCCCCCCCAGAAGAGGGTGTGGGAAAAAAAAAAGGCAAAAATTCAATTTTGTTCGGCCATTGTCCATTTTTGGTACACCAACTTTCCACTCATCAATAATAGTACGTTATGTTCCAATTTGTATCATTTTTAAGACATTACTCGTCAAAAACAGTACGTTATGTTGCAATATGTATCATTTTTAAGACATTAATCGCAAAAAATAATGAACCATTTTTGGGATAATGTCTCGATAGTGATACAAACTGCAACACAATGTACTGTTTTTTGATGAGGGGAAAGTTGGTGTACTAAAAACGAACAATGAAGGACCAAAATTGGATTTTTGCCGGGAAAAAAATAAGGAAATAAAGGATAATGATTTTCTGGAAAAATCACATCTGTCTGAGTCAGACTGTGTTTGTGTTTTCCAGCTCAATAAGTTCCCAGTAGAGAAGAGCGCTTTCTCTTGCCCTGGTGCTGCAGAAAATGCGTTAGAGGTGATCACAAATGGTTTCGAAAAAAATGTCCATTTATATTTGGCTTCCCCCTGTGGTGAAAATTATACTAAATTAATGTGGTTCCTTTTCGTTTCATCGGTTATCAGGACAGCAGAGAAAATGCTAATAATTGGACACCGGAATTGCAAATAATAATAATATCGGCTATAACCGGGGAAAAGAATGAGGGGTAAAACGGAGAATCCATGTTCGTAATTGTTAAAAGGTGATCCTCTCACCTTTCAACAAGAAAAATATCCCTACTTTTGTGACCCGGCAGTGGGGCTGGCCAAACAGCTGATATGTGTTGGCCATAAGTGTTAGCCTCTTGTTTTCTAGGCTCAAAATGGACAAAAATTTTTTTTAAAAAAAAAGGGAAATAAGTCCTGTTGAGTTCACTAAAGATAAATATTCATCCACTAATATATTCTTTAACAGAAGTGCTAGGAGAATTTAAGCATCAAACAATGCACTGTTTCAGTAAGCAAAACATCATTTTTACACAGTGAAGAGAGAATAATTAGAAAACTTCTGCTATGAGAAGTGTGTGTCATAAAGGCAACTAAGATCGTGTACAATATATATAGGCCATTGCCGAATATATTTTCCCAAATCCAGAAAATGTATGTTGAGTAACTATCATCTTCCTAAAAAATATGGAAAAGCATTGGTATTTTATATCATGAGATAATTACAGACGATATGCAGATTTTCAGTGTAATGATCTAAGAATAAAAAATAGAAGCATTGATCTTTTGAAACAACAAAATCGCCTACAAGTTTGTATTACCTTGAAACAAACAAATGCCGCAATTTCGTAGTTCTAAAAGATGATGGGGTTTTAAGTGACTTGACCAAATTTCGGGGGTACTTTTATGGTCAAAAATAAAAAATTACCACATGCGTAAAAGCCTCCTCAGTAGAAATAGTTCTATAAAATTTCTAATGAAGTAATTCTCGAATCATCGTTCTAGATAGTCATAGCAGAATGAGTAGCAAAGTAGCATCATACCATAAAAGCCACATTAAATTTTTCTGGTGCATAAAACAGGGCATAAAAAATGATATGGAGACTGATAAAGCATATAAACACAAAGAATTTATTCCAAAACCTATATGCAATCAAAAGAAAGGGAAATTGCAGAAGAGGTGACATCTCATGAAAAACTAGCCATGCTTTCTAAAGACAACTTAAAGAGTATATTGAACCAAATATTTGATAAGGTTTTCATGGAATTTGTAGACAACCACCATAAGATAACCATTCTCCCAGCTCATGCACAAATTGAACGAGATTCGATTAGCATGATAGTTACATCAGTAATGGGAAAAAAATCCTAAATAAATATCTTCCATGGACTTGTATGGTTATATCAACAATCGGACATAAATTCTTAGAGAAACGACATCTTTTTTTACTTGTCTCCACGAATAAATCCCTGTTATGAGTTGTCCTCTTTATTTATTTATTTATCTATTTATTTATTTATTATTTACATATTTCTGTACTGCAATAGAATCGCCTACTAAAGGTGATTTACAAAAGAAAGAAAAAATTCTTTCAACCTCACCTTCTGTTGATGAGTTTCCACACAAACACAAACAAGCATACAAACACTAACAAGCATACCAAAAAAAAGAACCATAAATGACTACTTTAGAGCACATTACTGAAAGCCTGAAGCACCTTCACCGGCATTGCATAACAAAATTAGTGATCAATCACTAGCCCTTTTTAACAAATTCTTCGTTTTGGCAATCTGTGTGTAGATATTTTAACTTCACTTTTCGCCTAATCTTAAGTTGCTATATTAGTACAGTCATCATTTTCGCTATTACCACCACCATCACTATCACCATTCTGAAAGCAAGCTACAGCTTAATCATGAAATACAATTAATCTTTAATAAAAGACTCTTAATCTCTAGTCAGCGAGGAACATTCAGAAAAGTACTAATTAAAGTTGAGACAATATATATCTAAACTTGTTTTATTTTATAGGTGTGTGCAGAAGAAACAGTGTTCTAGTGAGTGAAAAACTGAAGAATGGATACACATTCATGTTTTTAGTATACGTGTAAAATGTTTATCATGTCAAAATGTGCAAGTCAAGCCAATACAAAAATTTCACACTCATCTAAAGTTGATCTCAGTTCAATTACATCACTGACCAAAATGATAAAAGAAGGGCACCTTACAAAAGGGATAATGTTGAAGACACGAATGGCTTCATACTAGGAAGAGTGTCCATGTATAGCTCCCCAATGCTGACTCGAGAGCACCTCAAAATAGCCTTCTATACTTACCAGGCCAATACGGCAGCAACCAGTTACCAGGAGCCATAGATTGCCCTCCACTTGAAACTTGTCAGTTCTACCAAAGAGCAATCTTTTAGCACATACTAAATAGAAAGACCACCTAACTAAACAACTAAATTAAGCACAAATTATTTTATAAAAATTTTCTAAAGTTTCACAATAACAAAATTTTCAACAAGAAACCTATAAAGGAAAACTTAATAAAATCTAGGGGAATGTTTTAATAGGACTAAATAGTTAATTGGCTAGCCTTTAGATAAATATATTATAGTCAAGATAAATTCTAGCGAGGGCATGCTTACTTATCACATTGAGGTGCTTTGTCCACTATAGTTGCCATGATATTGGACAGGCATACTGCTCTTCCATCAAAATAAAATGCTATGCAAAATTTTAGTAAATAGGCCAACATGTCAAAGACTGATCTGATTATTGACACAATGCATGTCAATCTCTAATTTTATATGGAAATGTCAATAGCACATGCTATCAAATCTATATTGTCTGTGAGAATTGTAAGGCTCATGAAAAATTTCCGCCTACAGTGCTATATGATTAAACATAGGAAGACAAATACATGGGCAGCACTCGTCAAATTATCATCATTCCACTTTCCTAAAAATTTCCGCCTAAGTTCAACTAATCCCCATTAGGCAATAGGCTTCTGCTGGCTGCCTATGTTTTTCTTTCTTTTCTTTCCATTTTCTTTTTGGTCCCAATTAGGCCCATCTAACCACATATATACCCTATCAAGGCCCCTCCTTTATAGTTATGCCTTTGACATCTACCTAGCCCTTAGAATTTCTTAGAACACAGATTTTAATTCATTCGTTCTAATGCAAAACTGTTTTCGATCTGATGTGTGCTAGAGGGTCAGAACAGATTTCATTTTTTGGGTCAGTATCGCCAATGAAATTTATTAATCTCTAGATATAAAGGGTCAGCTGTCGGCCGACTCTGATCTACTTGCACATCACATATTAAGAAGAAAAAAGCATGCAAACCAATTTTCTAGACATGCATGAGCTTCCGTTGAAGCACTTATGAGCTCTGAGAGGAACAATCAAAGTAGAAACCAGAAATTTTCAATTTTAGTTTCTCTTTGTTTCACTCCATCAATGGCAGTATTTTGAGGGATGTGTACTAATTGTCATTAAATATCACAGATGACTCATTCTTTCACGAAGTTGAACAGGTTAAACCAACCTTTAACATCATAAAGAAGCCACATTTTTGTGTTTTAGCAGTTTCTCTACAAATTGAGGAGATTACGAAAATAAAGTGAATTTGGTAAATTCACGAGAAAATACAGCAATCCGCACAGTGCATCTTAAAACTATTCACTTATGTCAGTAACTCCAACAATGTGATACATCCCTGGTTACTTTCACCAGTTCATTTGTCTCTTCTTCACCTTTTAAGGAAGCTCTCAAGCCCCAATTCATACTCATATTAAATGATACAAAGTTGAATATGCATTTCTCAATTCATATGGGCAGTTACCTCACTGACAGACCCTGTTTTTGTCAACCCTTGTTCTAGGAATAGCCAAGATGGCTATAATCCCACTGGTGAGTGCAGAAATTGCGGCAATAGCTATTGCCGGCGAGTTACCGCCACCAAATAGTTGATCCCAAGGTCCAGCTCCAAGGGATACAATTACCTGCATTTGAAAAACGCACATGCAAGCCAGTCAGAACTCAGAAGTTTCGAAATGCTTTTAACGTGTTTCCAACAAAAAGTACATAAATGAGAAGATCAACTTTTTTCCAGGATTCAAACTGTCCAACTTATAAGACAATAGTATGCAACTAGCAACGAGTCATCCAAAGTTGACTAAGATTAAAAAGTTCAAATCTCAAGGCCCAGAGCAAAAAAGAGTAATTAATAATTGTTGATGTAATATAATTATTGTTGTGTATATTTCCATTTGTACCCTTACTTAGGTAGCTACTTAGGTGTTGTAATCCTTGTGAATGTATTGGGACGAGCCGAACGAGAACATCAGAAGATGTTCAGTTTTCTTTCATTAAAAACTGCTTCTAGTTTCTAATTTCTGACATGGCATCAAGAGCCAATTAATTTTTCGATCTTCCTTTTGTCATGGCCAATGATGAATTCGACACTCTGATGCCTCGAAGGAGAATTTCTCCTCATGCCTAGGAGGAGAATTACTCAAGTTCAATTAAAAGGCTTATACCAATTATGAAGAATGGTCTCGTAGCGTGCACATCGCTCTTCGTGCGCGCAAAAAGTTCGGATTTTTGGATGGTTCTCTTCCTCGTCCGCCTGCCTGAGGGGTCAGAGTTGCTCGAGGATTGGTGGGATAATAATAGCCTTTTGGTGTCCTGGATTATGAACAGCACTGAAGCAAAGCTTCGGTCGTCTGTTAACAGAAGGATTTTGCGAGTGAATTGTGGTAGTCTTTGAAAGAGCGATTTACAACCAAAAAAGGTGTCCGTTTTCAATTGAAGGCGGATTTAGTGGCTTGTAAACAAAAAGGGATGAGCATTAAAGCTTATTATGGAAAAATTACTGGGGAGAATTAGCCGAGAATGAAAAACCCCCAATGTGTAGATGTGGGTTGTGTGTTTGCAATTTGGAAAGTGACTCGGATAGCCGGGTTGTGTGATTCCAAATATTTTTTAAGTGTGGTTGATGATTATTCACGTGGTGTTTGGATTTACTTACTCGAGGATAAGAAAGAGGTGTCGTCTGTTTTGATGAATTTTTTTGCTATGTTGAAACGCCAGCCATACTGGGAGTGACACAACAACAACAACAACATACCCAGTGTATTTCCAACTGGTTGGGGTCTGGGGGGTCAGTTGTATACAGATCTTACCCTTGTAATTATACAAGGAGGTTGTTTCCGTAGCGACCCGTATTGCGTCGTTTGCTACATTTTTTTTTTCTAGAAACTTGAAACACTAGAATTTAATTGAGTCATTTTGATCTAGTCCATTATTAGCACTATGCCAGGAGAATTGTCAACAATGACTCTTCCACCTCCATTTGCTTTGCAATGGACAAACAAACTGGGAGTGACAATAGTGACAATAGTACTGAATTTGTGTGCCTGTCTAATTATTATCGTACTGAGGAATTTTTCATGAAACCTCGTGTGTTGGCACTCCTAAGGAGAACGGGCGTGTAGATCGCAAGCACCAACATATTCTTAATTGCTCGTGACTTGCATTTTCAGGCCCATCTGCCGCTTCAGTTTTGGGATTGTTGTGTTTTGACTGCTGCTCATTTGATTAATCTTACTCCGTCGTGGAATAATACTCCGTATGCGATGCTTCATGGGAAGTTCCATGATTATTCTCGATTGCGTGTTTTTGGTTGTATGCGTTATGTTTACAATCGAGATCATCGTGGGGATAAAGTTGCTAGCCGTAGTCGTCGATGTGTGTTTATGGGTTACCCCTTTTGGAAAAAGGGCTAGAGTGTTTTTGATTTGGAACATGAGGCGTTCTTGGTTTCTCGGGATGTTGAATTTGTTGGGACTGAGTTTTCTTTTATGGGATCTTCCGTTCCTTTTTCTGTCGTCTACTGTGACTTGCCCTCCAACTGAGGTTGATGATGATGATTGATGAGCCTGCATTTTCTGTGCGCTTAGTGGGCTTGGTAGAGTCGACCTCTTCTAGCACCACTGCTCTCTCAGGGGGGGGAGGGGGGTGTTGGGGGTTCTTCGGCTCCTGCTCCTATCGATATACTAGGTCGTGGTCATCGCACACGGTATCCTTCGGCACACCTCCATGATTTTGTTACTGAAAATGTATGTCCCCTGGTTCCTCTGCTACTCCTCCTGCCTAGTCATCATACCTTATTATATCGCTAGTTGTGGTTCTTCCTCACCGGCACATAAGCGGCAGCCGTTGCTTCCATTGTTGAGCTCATATATTTGCAGAGGCAATGACTGACAATAGGTGGAAGGAGGCTATGAAGAGTGAAACCCAAGCTCTGAAAAATAGTGGCAAACGAGAGGTCATGGGCTTGACTCCTTGGAAACGTGGGATTGGGTGTAAATGGATTTATAAAATTAAGTATAGGTTTGATGGTTCAGTTGAGCGCTATAAAGCGCGGCCGGTGATATTGGGCAACAATCAGATAGAAGGGATTTGATTACCACGAGACCTTTGCTCCTGTCGCTAAAATGGTTACCGTGAGGACTTTCTTGGCTGTTGCAGCACCTCGACATTAGGACATCAGATGGATGTCCATAATGCTTTTCTACATGGTGACATGGATGAGGAGGTTTATATGAAGCTTCCTCGCGGATTTCAGTCTGGTGATGATAGACAGGTTTGTCGTTTGCGTTGGTCTTATAGCTTGAAGCAGGCTCCTCGTTGTGGGCTTGCTAAGTTGACTACAACCTTGAAGCAGTATGAATTTTGTCAGTTACATTCAGATTATTCCTTGTTCACCTTGCAGTGTGGTTCTGTACATTTGCAGGTTTCTGTGTGTGTGTATGTTGATGATCTTATTGTTTCTGGCAGTGATCCCACTTCTATTGTGGCTTTTAGGAGTTATCTTTGTCGTTGTGACATGAAGGACTGGGTTTCTTAAACTAGTTTATGGGTATTGAAGTAGCGCGAACACTTCTGTGCCAGCGGAAATATTCTTTGGACATTATTTCAGAGGTTGGTTTGTTGGGGGAGTTGTAAGCCTGTAGATTTTCTGCGTGGAGCATAATCATCGTCTTCTTATTGATGATGGTCCTTTCTAGGATGACTGTGAGCCGTATCAGCGTTTGGTGGGTCGTTTGATTATTTGGTTGTTACTCGCCCTGAATTGTCCTATTCCGTGCATGTTCTTGCTCAATTTATGCATCGTCCACGCCAAACGCATTGGGAAGCTGCACTGCGAGTGGTTCGTTACGTAAAGAGTTCTCCCAGGTAAGGCATTGTCCTTTGTTCTGATTGTGATCTGCATCTCTATAGATGGTGTGATTCTGATTGGGCAACGTGTCCTGTTATCCTTCATTCTTTCGTCCCTCTCGTTCTCTCACTGGCTAGTTTGTTCAATTAGGCCAGTCTTCTATTTCTTGGCTTACAAAGAAACAACATACATTAGCTCCCTCCTCTTTTGCTGAAGCCGAGTATCGCGCAACTGTCATTTGTGAGCTTAAGTGGTTAAAAGGGTTACTTCTTTGTCTGGGTGTGGCACATTCGCAGCCTATGCGCCTCTATTGCGATAGTCAGGCTGCATTGCATATTGATGCGAACCTTGTTTTTCATGAGCGCACTAAGCACACATTGAGGATGCACTCCTCCAGGGTCTTGGGTCTTGTTTCTACTTCTCATGTCTTCACTCACTCTCACAGTTAGCGGATATTCTTACTAAGGCTCTTGGCAAACATGAATTTGATTTTTTTCTTAGCAAGTTGGGTATCCGGAATCCGCATGCTCCAACTTGAGGGGGGTGTTGATGTAACATAATTATTTCCATTTGTACCCTTACTTAAGAAGGTAGTTACTTAGGTGTTGTAATCCTTGTGAATATATTGGGACGAGCCGTACGAGATCATCAGAAAAGGTATGTTCAGTTTTCTTGCATTAAAAGCTGCTTCTAATTTCTAGTTTCTGACAATAATAAAAGCTAGGCTGTACCTGTGGGATCACAATTGCCAGATTTAAAACCCCCATAGATAACCCTGCAAGATCCAGAAAATGATTAAGAATAACCTTGCATCCAAACATTCCTTATAAAATAAAATACAAGTTTCAGACAAACCTTGGCCTAAGCCTAAAGCTTCAATATGAGTAGAGACCAATGCATATGGAACACTGTATGTTATCTGCAGAAGGTAAACCAAACAGGTAAGAGATTGAACAAGGAACTATAAGAGAATGGAAAAGTCAAATACACACCGGAAGTCAGGACATAAAAGTTCTCTACCGATCTGTTAGGTATGTTCGTAAGAAAATTAGGCTACCAAAGCCACAGTCATTTGCAAATCCTGAAATACAATAAAACTTCTAATATTCAACTATATATAGTTAGAGCTAGCAATTTCAACTCAATTGTTCCAATGAAATCTTATAACTATTTTTAATCAAAAAATCTTAACTTTTCTACCATATCTCACATGGAGAGTAAAGTTTTTTTTTTTTAAAAAAAAATAATAATTTAGTCATTATAAGCACACATACACACTCATGATCAATACAGAATCCTGACAGCTCCTTAAACTCAGAGCCACTTACAGCTAACGGCACACCAAGAACCGCAAACACGACTAAAGCAGAAACAACGATGCCCTCGGGAGGAAGAGACCCGTCAAGATCCATAGTGCCTCGGACAGCTGCAACAATAATCATGGCCACAAAGCACAATGACATGAGGACATTTGAGACACCCCATGTGAAGCCCGCCCCCCATTTCCTGCAAAGCCTCTCCATAAACAGCGAAGTGACCCCAAGAACCACTGAATTCAGCATCAAGCCTAGAGAACCCATCCTCACACCAACACTATAGCTCGTCCCCTCATTCGGACTCCCTCCGTAAATCTCGCGGCCCATCCAGTCTGTGTCGAAAAGAAGGAACGGGAACCATCCGATCCAAGTGAGGGCAGTCACGAGAAGGATTACCCAGACGGGTCCCGGGAGATACCTAAGAGTCCCGAAGAGTTCCCATAGAAAGGCCTCGTGCTCAGGGGAAGCACGAGACATTTGTTCACCATGATGTGGGGAGTTTAGGTCAGATGTAGTTTGCGGCTGCTCGTGGCCCGCCGATAGACTTATATATGTGGTTATGATAATGAAGATAATGTCAATGATGAATGCTGCCTTTAGATTCGCACAGTTTATGCTGCAAGCGGAGGTGAGGGTGAAGGGCATAATCTTGAACCATTTACTGTAGGACCCGGTGGCAAATCCGAGGATGTTGCCCACAGCCATGAATAGGGAAAAGTATGCATTCGCCACTCGAGTTCTCCTGTAGTCCTTTCCTATAATGTATGACAAAATATGTTAACAACAACCTTATAAATTCTAGGCACAAAACCAGGCCAAATGAATGATAGGAATAAATATGCGTAATTACATCATCAAATTTGGTCCGGGATACGGAGGTCAGTTTAGGCACATACTCCTTGTCTTTAGCCAACCAGTAAGATCAGTGGAGTATGGGTTCTTCAGTTTTTCAAAAGGAATTGATCGAACAAGAAATCAAACTGCAGCTATGGTACAACTCATAATCTTTCCTAGTACCAGAACATGGTAATCTGTAGTAGAACCATCTTAAAATTGTATTTATGAAAATCAGTCGGGTGTATACAGATGTTGAGTAACACACTATATCTCTTCACAGCAGTCATCAAGAGACAAACATTTAGAGTGGGGACGGTCATACTCAAACAAGTCAGAATTGGAATGAGAAACAGAAAGCCCTAATAGAATAGAACTAAATAATAATACACTCCTAGCAAACTAGCATGGGGATAACTTGCATCAAGCTAACTTTGAACCAATGCCCAGTATTCTGATAGTTCTACACATATCTTTCATCAGAAACTTTTACTTACTGAATTGAGGTAGACCCCAGCTTACTCTCACAGAAAACAAATAGATTGTCCCAATTCAGGATTTGTATGAAAAAAATACATTCGCTTACCAGTGAGATCAGCCAGGAGAGCACGACATGGGCCCTGCGTCATATTGTTAGCAACGTCAAGAAGCCAAAATCCGATCACAAACGCCACGACCGCGCGAATTTTCTTAGACCCTCGGTCCCCAAAGAGCCACCCAATGTCGGACGCGTGGCCGATGATCAAAACGGCGACTACGATGGACAGTGCTCCACCGAGGATGAAAGGACGGCGGCGCCCGAATCGGCTTGTGCAACGGTCGCTGTAGTGTCCGACAAGTGGCTGGACCATCAGGCCCGATAGCGGCCCGCACAGCCAGATGATGCTAGCCCAGGCGTGGGGTATGCCGAGCTCCTGCACGTATGGCGTCAACAGGGACAGCTGCAGGGCCCAGCCGAACTGGATGCCACCGGCCACCGACGCGACGCGAAGGAGCGTCCTCAGCCGCACGCGTGTGGGCCTCACCGATGGGCCCGGCCCCAGGCGCCTGGAAGTCTGACTCTCTCTTTCCACAATTGTCATGTTTACAGGTAAGATTTTCGGTGGCGGAGAGTGGCGGTGGCGGTGGTTGGGATAAAGGAAAATCGAGCTTTCTGACGTCTGAATCCGAGTGGGGGATTGCGGGGATGGGTTTTGGGAAAGAGTGCTGAGCTTCTGTCTGTGTTGGGCCGGGGGAGGAGGGGTGGGGGTGGTGGGGCACGAGTGTAAATATTCGGAGCAATTGGAGTTAATCGTTACTGATTAAGACTATTATAATGACTAATAATTTTTTTTATTTTTTTTCTTTTTAGATTTGGGATTAGAAGTTCTTATCATCGTTGGCTTATTTTATTTACACTTTTATAACTACACGCATATTCAAAAAGAACTAGTGCATAGCCCCGTGCGATGCACGGGTAATTATATTAAATAATAATTAAAAATAAGTCTCGAGTTCGTTTGGTGGGGAAACATTTTCCTATTTTAAAAGAGCAAAAAAAATATATAAATTAAAGATGTGTGGTTAACATGTGATATAATTTACCGTCATATATCAGTTTAATAATTATAAATAGGTCTCGAGTTCGAGTGGTGGGGTCAACATGTGATATAATTGACCGTCGTATATCAGTTTATTATCAACAATATAAAATTAACTTGTATAAGAGAACATAAAGATTGCATGTTTAAAATACTAAAAAAAAAAAAACATGTAAAAGTATGTAAAAGTTCATGTTATTAAAAGATGTGAAGTCACCTATAATTTTTTAAACTATTTTGGAAAGAAAACATGTTTAAAAACATTTAAATTTTATATTTTATGAAAGATGTTTTCTGAACTCTGTTGTAAAGAAAACATGTTTACAAATATCTTATTATGGGTATATATATATACGTGTATATGTATATATAGATATAATATGACATGATAAAATATTATATAGCAGTATCTACAATATCATAAGCCTAAATAAAAACATTATAAATTTTTGAGAGAAAATTTACCACTTATATATAAAATAAATAATGAAATTATACCGAGAATTATGACGGTATTTCTTATTATTTTTTTATGAGTTGTTACAGTTAAAAAGAAATTGTACGCATAACAATTCTACTTTTTATGCAGATTTATTAATTTTACAAATACATATCAAGATTAATTTGAAATGTAACAAATAAAATGAAATTTTATATATAAGTGATATTGATACAAAAATTGAAGACAATATATAAATCTGCATTTTTTCTATTAACTTTTTATTATGTGCATTTAATATTTTTGGAGGAGAAATATGTGATAAATCTTATGCTCGTTATATATATATATATATTAAACACATATATATTATTATATTACATAGTATAAAAAGTGTATAAAATATTCTATATTATCCTTGAAAAAAGTTTGAAGTTGCTATCTAAACTATTTTTTAAGGAAACATGTCTAAAAATGCTTAAATTTAACATCCATATATGTATATATATCCTCTATATATAGCTCATTAATTTTTGTCCAAATAATGTTTGAAATATCTCCAATATTATAGATGTTAATAATATTTAAAAAAATATTAATATTTAGATAGGTGAAAATTATTTTTTTAAAAAAAAATTATGACCGTAGGTCAGATTCATATTAGCAATTATACTTTAGAGTGAATTAACTTTTTTAAGAAAAAAAAAATTATGTTACATAATTTTGTTAAAAAAAAATATGTTAGAGTAGATACCTAAGAGATGAGATTTTTTAAATTTACCGAGAAATGGTATTCTATAAGATTACCATGAATTTTTTTAGCATTAATAGGTTTTTTTGTACAGTCTTTAATGTGTATGGAACCAAAAGCCGATATTTATGCGATGGGATTCTATAAAATTACCTTGAGATTTTTTAGGCGGGTATACGTTAATGAGATTTTAATGTACGATCTGTATGGAACAAAAACCAATATTTTAGGCTTCAGTTAATGATATAAACTTATAAATATGATGAATATATGATAAATATGATGAAGAGAATGTATGACGACAAGAAAAAATTACAGCTTGCGTAGGACATTCTGGGATAGAAGAATGAAAATTATAAATTACAGCAGGAATAAAATATATTGTTTGATTTGGATGAGTTTTAAAGACTTTGAAGAAAGGAAAACTCTTCTTTAGTTTGACTAAAGATCTCTCCTCAATTCACACGTGATTTGTTGTAAATAGGGTATAAATAATATGTATTTAACTTATTTAAAAAAAATATTTTTTTTTAATCATCTTTTAATAAAAAAATTATATATTTTTAAATAAAAAAATTGAAAAAAAATATGTACAACCGGATGGAAAATTAAATTGTTATAGGTTTTTTTTTTTAAATCTATTGTGATTTCACATTGTTTGAAAGATTCAACTTACTTAAAATCATAATTGACGGTATTATTTTTCAGATTTTTTGTAAGATAGAAATGTTGTATTAAAATGTATCCGGTTGGACGATATTGTTGCATTTTGAAC